AAAAAAAAAAAAAAAAAAAAAAACACACATCTTAGTAAAACCAATACCTTCTCAGCTTCGCATCGAAGCTAAAATATCAAATTGTAACATAATACAATTTTTTATTACATTACATTTAATACATTATTTTCTGTTTATATAAATATTAATATTTATATTAATAGTTTCCTTGATTTGATGGTTGCAAACTGGTGAATAATTTCTGACCAAACAATCTGGTTTAAAAGGTCATCTTCTATGTTTAATATTGAAAGCGATGACATTTTTTAGCTTCGATGCGAAGCTGAGAAGGTATTAATTTTACTATGATGTGTTTTTTTTTTATTTTTTTTTTTTGTGTCTGTGAACGCTCAATTTCAGCTCTCGCTGGACCGTTTTTGATGAACAATATGTCAAAAGATCACAAATCGTATCTAGTCGAAGACATTACCCTCAAAAATTGAAAAAAAATTTCCTCGTTCCCCGTAAATGAGGGAATTTCCCCAAAAAATTACAAATTTAAAAATCGCTAATTTTCGACATTTCTTCAATTTTTTTTACTAAAAACTGCCGTAACATTTTCAAAAATGAACATATTAATATAATTTTTTTTTTTTATAAATACCTTAGATATTTACCTATCATTTTATATATTTTTGTGAACATTTGACCCTTTAATAGCCCACAGGATGGGTTTCAAAATGGTAATTTTTTTTACAAAAAATTAACTTTTGAAAATGTTCCGGAAAGACTGACACTTTTATATATACCTTAAATTAAAGTTTATGTAATATACTTTATTTTGAAAAAAAAAGAATTTGACCTCTGGATTTGTCTTTATGGTAAAAATGACTACCGTATGCAAAAATATGCTATTTTTTTAAAAAAAATTCTTGATATTATATTTTACATTTTTTAACATTATGATGCTATAACTTTTTAAAAAATGCATAAATCAATTCTATTCTTTAACAATAAATACTTTATATATACATCTTTCATTTNAATGATAAATACTTTATATATACATCTTTCATTTGACATACTTTTTTTTTAAATCGGACCTTTTCTCTTTATACAGGGGGGGTGCAAACCTTTTAAAATGCGTATAGAAAGTAGAAATTTTTCAAATTAACTTTTGAAAATGTTCCGGAAAGACTGACACTTTTATATATACCTTAAATTAAAGTTTATGTAATATACTTTATTTTGAAAAAAAAGAATTTGACCTCTGGATTTGTCTTTATGGTAAAAATGACTACCGTATTCAAAAAATTGTTATTTTTGTGTTAAAATTCTGGGTTTTGTATTTTATTTTATTTTAAAATACCTGACAAGGGGACTACAGATTTTCATAAATATTATATAAATAAAAAATTAATATAGCATAGAAAGTTAAACTTATTTAAATTTGTTTGCTTCTTTTAAGTCGAGAAAAATAACTTTGAAATTTGAACTAGCTTAAATGGCCAATTTTTTCAGTCGATGGTATCAATGTACGAT